GGTGACGCGCCGTTGCGTCTCGGCGCTTGGCTGACCGCTGGCGAGAAGCGTGGTGCCTCCCAATCAACCTCAAGCTTTTTATACTACATGTAGCAGTCTCCACAAAGCTACTTGATCCGGCCGAGGAAGCACTGCACTGAATTTCAAGTGCGTTGGAATGCACGGTATCTTGAAGAAGCTACTTTATTGACGTCGTCTTTCCGACGCCCGTCGTCGTCGTCGTCGCTTTGTGTCACCGCAGACAGAGGAGGTGGAGTCGTACCGGCACTTGCGGCGATGCGGAAGTTGCGGGAGGTGGCACCATCACCGACGACGTTTGCCTTAGACGACGACGCGACGGAGCGCGGCAAAGACCCGGTCGACGTCGTCGGTGGTCGTTTGCCAATTGCTAAACGCCGCGCGCATCGCCCACGTGCCGTCGTAGCACGTTGGTGTCATGAATGCATCGCCTGTGTCGCGAAGGCGCTGTAGGAGGTCGAGCATACTCGCTTCGTTCGCGACCGCATCGTTGGCATAGGTAAACAAGACAATATTGAGGCGGACCGGCGCCAAGAGCCGAAGCACGTGCCCGAGCTCGGCCTCGATACGCGCGCCAAGGGCGCGCGCCCCATCAATATTACGCACGACAATGTCGGCGTGGCCGTCACGACCGTACGCTGTGATGGCAAACCACGCGGCGAGCGCCCGCCAGCGCCGCGAATTTTCCGGTGTCAAGTGCACAAAACTGGGGATCGTGCCAATGCTGCCGAGGTACGAGGCGGCGGCGTTGGAGAAAACGCGCACTTGAAGATCGCGGCGCCGTGTCAATTGGATCGCGCTGTCGTACGGCACGTTGAGCCACTTGTGGCAGTCGATGCAGATCGAGTCGGCGCCATCGAGACCTGCCACGAGGTGCTGCAACCGCGTGTCAAGGGCGGCGAAGGCCCCAAATGCCCCGTCGACGTGGAGCCAAAACGTGTACTTTGTCCGAAGCGCCAAGAGCGCGGGAAGGTCGTCAAAATCGCCGCTGTTGACAGTGCCCAACGTAGCCACAACGATCGACGCCGTCTCTGGCGACGTAGCCAGCTGGGCTTCGAGCGCGCGGACGTCAATGGCCTCGCGGTGCGGCAGCACCGGAACGGGTGTCACGGCGGTGCGCCCGAGCCCGAGCATGGACGCTGCCTTATGGACGCTCGAGTGCGGCCGCGCGCTGTAGATCGCAATGCGTCCGATAGCGCATAGTCCGTCGTGACTGACGTTGACACCGCGCTCGTCACCAACCCACTCGCGCGCGATCGCGAGCCCGACGAAGTTGGACATGGTTCGCCCCCGTCACGAACGCCCCGTCGTGCGACGGTAGGTTGAACCAGTCGGCCAGCGCCCGCACGGTCTTGCGTTCCAGCTCGGGTGCGTCCGAGTCCCAGTGGCTTTGCGGATTCTGGTCGACCGCCGACGTGAGCCAATCGCCGACGAGACTCGCTGGCGTCGCGCCACCCGTGACAAAGCCAAGGTACCTAGTTTGCAAGTGCATAAGATCGAATCGCGTTGCATGCAATGGCGCGTACCGCGGCCCCGCGCTGCCTGCGAGACGGGGCAGCCACGCCGTTTAAAATTGGTCGAGCGCGGCAGCGGCACCGATGCCATTGTTGCTTTCGACGGGTGGCAGGTCGCTGGCACTGGACGACGGCGTCGGTCGGGCAGCCGGTACATCGCTCGGTAAGCGCTGGAGAAAGTCCATCGCCATCTCGCGCGCCGCCGCCGTGAGCGCAGCCAGGTTGGTTTGGTCGGTCGTCAGCAGCGGATGCATCTCAAATGACCAAGTGCAACGCTCGACACATGCTCCCGGTGCTGGAACAGAAAAGAGTTCTGTGATCAGCATTCTCTCATTTGACCGTCGATACGACCGGGCTCTCGTCCCTGATTGGATACCAGCGGATGGGACGAAGAGTGATGGCCTTGATGGATCAGTTTCTTGGCGCGAACGAGGCGATGGACGTATTGCAGCATGACTTCCACGAAAACAAGTCGCTATGCTTGAAGGAGCTATCGCTCCGCGTCGGGCTTGTATCGCACCTCGTTGAGCGTT